TATATATATATGACACTTAAAAGTTGCGATGTGGGGAGATTCCTACCCTGCCTTTATTGTCTAAATCACCAAAGACATTCTAAGCACCTGAGCCAGTTTGATTCTTGGCCAAGGGTCTGTGAATATCAGTTCAGCTTCAAAGCAGCAGGTTATAGATGAAGAGAGGGTCAAGGTTGAAAAACCTCTTTCCAGAAGGTTTAAGTGGGCTCTTCCTCTGAATTGTAATCTCCAGAGGAGGGGTTTAAGGACTTTGCAGTTTTAAACGGGTGGTTCTTCTGGTCAGGCAAATGGTTTAGGCATGCTGGTTCTTAAACTTGTCTAATTATCAGCATCACTTGGAAAGTTTCTGAAAATTGCAGATGCCTGGGTTTCATATTTAGCTTACGAAATCAGCATCTCTGTAGGTAAAACACTAACAGAACTTTCCAAGCGAGTAGATCATTAGCCACTTTGGGGAAGATTCTGATTGTGGGGTGCTCAAACTGACTCATTTCTGCTTCACAAATTTCCCCCAAAGTGCAACAGGAAAAATGACCTTTTGTATGAAATTGACTTATGGTACACTGTGGTGGCAGGGGGCAGTCACTGCCTGCTGATACTCTGGATCCTACCCCTCTTTTTTCTGCAGTTGCTGCTCTGTGTGTCTGTGACTTGTCCCCAGCACAGTGTGATGTCAACTGCTGCTGTGATCCCGATTGCAGCTCTGTGGATTTCAGTGTGTTTTCTGCTTGTTCAGTTCCAGTTGTTATGTAAGTTTACGTATAACACATACAATTTTGATGAAATTTGACCAGGATAATACAATTTGGGGAAAGGGAAGACTTTCCCAGGCTGAAAAACTGAAACCTGATTTCCTATATTTTGCATCATTCCAAAGCCATGCTGTCTAAACAAATATGTAAAAAAAAGTAGCTGTCCCTTAGCTGCATTCAGCCAGGTGACTGTGCAGGCAAAAGAGAAGAGAGAATGTATATTAAAAAATGTAATGAAGCCCAGGTATGGTGGCTCACGCCTGTAATCCCAGCACTTTGGGAGGCCAAGGTGGGCGGATCACGAGGTCAGGAGTTTGAGGCCAGCCTGACCAACATGGTGAAACCCTGTCTCTACTAAAAATACAAAAATTAGTTGGGCGTGGTGATGTGCACCTGTAATCCCAGTTATTCAGGAGGCTGAGGCAAGGGAATCGCTTAAACCCAGGAGGTGGAAGTTGCAGAGAGCCAAGATCGCACCACTGCATTCCAGCCATTCCAGCCTGGGTGACAGAGTGAAGAAAAAAAGTAAGGAAACCTCTGTGTTTGGAGATTGAATTACATTTCAGTTTGAATTGTAAACAGACAGTGGTCACATTTTTTGTATCAATGAATTAGTATAGCCTAGGGTGAAAAGTGCAATTTAATTTTACAGCTTTTATTGTGGACATAGTATTTGTAACAAAAAATTAGATAGAAAGCTTTGTTTTTACTTTTCTGATATGTAAATCTACCAGGAATTCTCACAGTTTGCCTTGTATAGAACAATGGAAAATGACATTCCCAGCTGATTATAAGGTAAAGAAATAATCTGTTTTGAATGATCTCTTCTCATGATTGAGATTTCAAGGCTTGTTTTTTCCTTTTTTTTTTTTTTT